GATTAATGTTATTTAGGGATAATCGCGAGACCGTTGAATTCGCCTTTTTTTTTTTTTTTGCGCGCGCGCGCTATTTTTCTCACACTCCATCTTCTTTCTTCTCCCGTTATCCGAAAGCTGGTGGTGATGGTGATGGTGGACGATGCCGCACTTTATCAGCTAGGAAACGCCAGAGAGTCGCGCATTGTGACCGGTCGAGATTAAAAGCTATTGTTTTTCGCGCTTGCTCGAAATCGAACGATGATCGAAAGGAAGAGAGAGAGATAGAAGCGAGAGAAAGATAGAAAGTTTGTTTCCGAGTGTTCATTTGTTACCACTGCTGCTATCGTATACCACACGTATACGCGAGCTTCGCTAATCTCTTCGGTAATAGAACTTTTCCTCTTATATCAACGAGCTACTTCTGTTAGTGGCCCTCTCGGCGATGATAGGATTTTATCGATGTTTGAACAGTTATCCGTTTCATCTCGTTATTGTTCGAACGATTCATTTTATTTTTGCCCCACCGCTCGGTCGAGTGATCGATACTTTGCCAACTGATAACATTTAACTGCACAGACTTTCCTGGTTATTACGAGTTTCATCCCAGTCGCCAGTGTAAACTGTGCAAAACGGATAAAAACGATCCGCTTTCTATTGAAACCTATTTTCGTTGTAAAAACGAGAAGAGCGAGGATCCCGCGCGTGCACACCGTTTTCGTAATGGCATCCCCACGGATGGGGTTGCGCATTTTTCAACGTTACAGCGGAGAGAGAAGAATACGTGAAAAAAAGAAGGAGAGAGAGAGAGAGAGAGAAAAAAGAAAGGAAAAAAGAACGAGTGAAAGAGCAATTTGCGAGGGGATCGTTCACGATGCGGATACCGGTGTCACTAATTCACGGATTGACAAGAATAGAAATGACTTATTTCCTATAATCTGCCAGGGATCCCTACGCTCTCTCGCGAAAGTTTCGCCGGCTAAATGAACCCTTAAATCACTCGGACACGATTTATTATCGTTATTACGCGTCGTCGCGAAGTGGGAGAAGCGGAGAAACGAACAAAAATCGAAAAATAGACGGACAGCGGGAAAAAGGGGGGTGAGGGGCGGGATGGGATTGGCGTTAGTGTTTACCGACCGTTCCCGCGGGAATCAACCGTTGGTAGCACTGAATGGCACTATTTACT